TCTTCAGTCATTCATGTGGTACATTGAACATTTTCACTTGGATATGTACTGCCTAATTTCATTCTCTTTTATGTACAGATGCAATTGAATGTTGATGGATGTGATCCTTCTGTCTCATCATATGTCATTCCTATCGATAGGACAAATACCACAGAGTGAACAGTAGAGGGTAAATGTGCTTCAAAACATCGAGTGGGATCTGAAAAATGTCAAACACCAATAGGGAAAATAGAAGAGATAAAATAGTTAACTCTCATGCTCTTCTTCTTAAATTTTTTTTTTTAATGAGTTTAATTGGGAAAAAGTTTGGGTTTTTTTTGGAAAAAGGATGTGTTGCATTGGGTGAGTTACATTGTGCTAGTTACTTTGTTATGTTTGTTACATTATGATTTTATGGTACGTTAAATTATGTTATAAGAAATTATGTTATGGTACATTACGTTGCGTTGTGTGACAAAACGCAATACTAAGTTACGTTGTTATGTTAAGTTAAATTACGTATTGTGTATCAATGTTACATTCCGAGTAAATGTCATAGGTTCAAACTACATCCAACACACATTGTGAGTCATGAGGTTTGGTTCACTGCGGCTGGGTTTCAATGAACTTTACTGGTCTTTTTGGATTTCTAAGATCAAGGGGAATGAATGTTTGGATCAATGTGGCAACGCCGCCTGTTTGGGGACATTGATCCTTCTCCCACTGGGTGTACGGTGATCCATTTTCTTCTTTTGAGGTCCTGCCAAATAATGTGATCACTTTAAGGTGCAGCCCTCGGTAACTCTATGATTCATTACTAATAATGTGTGAGCTTGTGTGTGTGCAAACAGCATGTGTGTGCACGCATGTTCTGTGGATATGTTTTTTTGTTCGTAACTTTGTATTTTGTCCTGTTTGTGTACAAAGCAAGCATGTGTGTGAGCAGCACCTCAGCGGTGTACACACTCTGGAATAATATCCCATATCACAAAGAATAAAGTCTTGCCTTGTGCACAACCTGCTTTATTTCACATCCCTAAGGAGTCAGGTAATCTGTTCTTGCCAGCCCAGCTACCTCCTAACATCCCCTAGCGTTTTCTGTCCCTTGTTCTGTCATTGGCTTGATAGTGCAGCACTTGTTGTACTCAGGGCAATATAAGGAAGGAGGTGAGCTGCATACATCAGTAGTTGAGGAGGATGGAGTGAAAACTCAACACCACCAGGATCAGCAGGTAAGAGGCACTTGTTGCTTCCTAATACATTATAATCTGCAGTAGAAAAGGCCTTTTCCACATTGTTGCACCTGTTTCTAACTTCCTCTTTTTCCACAGCTCACTGTCCCAAGCTCTCACTATGCTCTCCACTCGCCTCATCTTCCTGATGGCTCTCCTCATGGTCCTGATGGCTGAGCTGACCTCCAGTGCCAGGACCACACGCAAACCTCAAAGCAGCAAGAAGCCTCCACGAGCTGGGAGCAGTGGTGGAGGTGGGGGTGGCGGTTTTGGACGAACCACCACCTCCCCATCCAGCAGCCAGCACACGGAGGAGATCACTGAGGTTATGATTGACACTTACTCCCTGTCCTCAACAGACAGCACCACCTACTCTAATGAAGCTTACTCCACCGAGTTCCACACAGAAGCCATAGTTCCTCTGGGGAACGCCGACGGAAACTACACCCTCGACTACAATGAATGCTTCTTCAACTTCTGTGAGTGCTGTCCGCCAGAAAGAGGCCCGGCAGGGCCCGTCGGAGAGAGAGGGCAACCGGGACTGACAGGAGAAAAGGGCCCTCCAGGTAAGAGAGTTCATGAAAATAAACTTTTAGATGTCAGAATTTTCCTTTTATCCTCATCTTCTCTGTTTTCTAGGGTTGCCAGGAGGGAACGGAGAAACAGGGCCAAAAGGTGCACCAGGACCAGCAGGACTACCCGGAGTCAATGGACTCAATGGCGATTTAGGTACCATAAGGCTAAAGAGAGAGAGAGTGAGAGAGAGAGAGAGAGAGAGAGAGAGAGAGAGAGAGAGAGAGGGAGAGAGAGAGAGAGAGAGAGAGAGAGAGAGAGTTCTTGAATGTGTCCTGTCAATATTTGCAGTACTTTGGTCACTTTCTACTCTTTATTTATCAAAACTACCAAAGGTGATAAAGGTGAACAAGGACCTGTGGGTCTTCCTGGTATCCCCGGGATCCCAGGAAAAACAGGAAACAAAGGTAAGTAGAATTAAGTGAAAACCTTTGTAGAAATCATTCAGATATTACCAAATATGTTTTAATCATATCCATCAATACACTTTGCAAATATACATGTTAACCTAATACATACATAACCTCTCTATAGGTGATCCTGGCCCCAGAGGAGAGAAAGGTGAACGTGGCTTCAGTGGTCTGAAAGGGGACCCGGGAGAAAGAGGAGAGCCTGGCCTGAATGGGACTAAGGGCAGCACTGGGCGAGAGGGGCCCATGGGTCCCCTGGGGATGTCTGGGACAAAGGGTCAGAAAGGTGAACAAGGACTTACAGGCAACGGTTTACCGGGTGACAAAGGAGAGAAAGGTGATGTGGGCGACCTTGGGCCTCTTGGTCTAAGAGGTGAGAAGGGCCCCCCAGGAGTGAATGGAACTGGTGGTGAAAAGGGAGAGAGAGGAGGGCCAGGGCCTCCAGGAGGGAAGGGAGATGTTGGGGCAAGAGGGCCCCCAGGACCTCTAGGCGGGAGGGGTATGGCAGGGCTGAGGGGGGAGCGCGGGCCCAAAGGTGGACGTGGGCCTAGGGGCCCTAAAGGCCAACAAGGTGAGAGTGTGGAGCAGATTCGCTCTGCCTTCAGTGTGGGTCTGTTCCCCAGCAGGTCCTTCCCCCCACCCGGTCTACCTGTGAAGTTTGATAAGGTGTTCTACAATGGGGAGGGGCACTGGGACCCGGCACTCAACAAGTTCAACGTCACCTACCCAGGGGTCTACTTATTCAGTTACCACATCACTGTGCGCAACCGGCCCCTGCGTGCTGCCCTTGTGGTTAATGGGATTCGGAAGCTGCGGACTCGGGACTCTCTGTACGGCCAAGACATCGACCAGGCATCTAACCTCGCACTGCTGGAGCTGAACAGAGGTGACCAGGTGTGGCTGGAGACGCTGAGGGACTGGAACGGGATTTACTCCAGCACTGAAGATGACAGCACTTTCTCCGGCTTCTTGCTTTACCCAGAATCAAAGACCAAACCTATTGCTGTAGAAAACCTGTGACTGCAACCTTTGACCTTTCATGAGCTCTGACTGAAACTTCAAGTAGATTCCTCACAGCCTTCAGCCTCCTGCACTGCTCTGTCAAACCAATATGATTCAGCTGATTCTGCTGCTTCAGTATCTGCTGCTGTCGAGCTAATCAAACCAAACCCTCTGCTTGCTCTGCTGTATTTCTGGAGACGGATGAGGCTTGGTTATACTTCTGTATGCAACACTTCACAATGCATTAAAAACAACTGTGCTTGAAATAAATGACCCTTGAGTTATTTACTCAGAAACAGAACTAGAAGCTAATTAAAAAGCCATTAGTCATGAGAATAGACAGATAAGCTGTGTGTCAGTGAAACCAATTCAAATGTAGAAATAACTGAAGTTCATGATATATAATTGCACTTGTTTCCCCACTAGAGGGAGTGAGATGCCCAAGTTTTGCAAAAGAGGCTCCAGCCATTATAAAATAAATGCAGGCGTCAGACTGAATGTTGCATTAAAAATGTTGCAAACGTGGAATAGGAAGTTGAATGAATAAGATATTCTGTGAGAGAACAGTTTCATCAAATCAAAAGCGAGACTCAACATGTTCTGGTACACTTACTGACTGCTGCTTTCATTCCACACAACAGGACGGTAAAGCTAATTCTTTTGGACACTTCTAACTCCCACATCTTATTCATCACATCTCAGTTGCTGATGAAACATCTGAGTTTGGTTCAGTGCCTGAATATGTTCAGGTCAACACGGTACCGACGCAGCATCCGAGAACAGGAGTGAAATATTTGTTATAGTTTCCTCACTGACAGAATTTAATCACACTTGATTTGACTTTATTTGTAGAGCACTGTTCATACAATAAATTCATGTATATAAACATAATTCTCCATAGCTAGTTGATCTCCTCAATCATTTTTTTTGACTATATGCTATATCACCTTGATAAGAGATTGCACATGGAGTTACAGGTCAATTTAGCCTTTTATTTTATTAACACATATTGTTATAGTGTAAGATGTTGAGTATGACCTATTACCTAACACTTTATGTATTTAGCTCTTTGGGCCATTCTTTACCCTCTCAGATTTGAAATAAAATGTATTATTATTAATTTATATTTCCACCCCACGCATTGATTTGAAATTAAAAGAAAGAAAATGTCATTCACAATTTGATTTTACTTGCATCTAAATAATATGTATATATCCTCTGCTTTTTTGAGGGAAGCACAGAGTGTGCAGCCGGTGTTATATGGCAACATAAATTAAAAATAATTATAACATAAAACAATGTCACACAATAAACTTTAGTGTATGCTATTTTTAAATTATGCCCAATTTAACATTATTAAAGTCTTCATTTTTGTTATAGGTCTCTTTTACAAACAAATCATCTTCATCATCCTAACTTGTCTTCAAAATGGTGTAATTGAATATAATTTTTGAATGTTACAAAAAAATCAAAAGTGTATTTTTAGTTCCCAGGGGATTGAATTTGATTCCATTATTTTGGAATGACTTTTAAGTCTGGAAAGCTACAAATGTCTCTAAATTGCAACTTTGAGTGATGAGAAAGGACATTCATTATTTACATTCCATGAAGAATACTGTCAAACCTGTAAGAGAGGAAGAGGGAAGCCTAGAAATTCATCTCCATCTACTGGTGAAGCACATACATTTACCTTACATTTCCACCTTAATTATGTTGCTGTTGGTGGCAGTGGTAGTGGTGTGTGTCTGTGTGTGTGTGTGTGTGTGTGTGTGTGTGTGTGTGTGTGTGTGTTAAAATGTTGTTTTGCTTGTTTGTTTATAGGCCTATCTGTGGATATGTGTGTATGTGCGCATTTATGTATTTTCTACTACTCTGTGAAAATATAAATAACTACCTTGGCGCTGTGTGCAGTGTAATCTGCTCCCAGCAGGCTGGATTCCCACTGTGAGAAAGACAGTATATTGTTCCTGCAGCACCACAGATAACAACTCATTAGCATACTGAATCATTTGGCTGCAAGAGCCACTCTGCCACCCATCTGCACTGAGCTGATAAACACACACACACGCCAGCTCACACACACACACACACATACAGATCTATGCAGAGCACACACATACACCCACAAACATGTACACACACACGAGCACAGGCCTCCTCTCAGTCCCTCATATACACTCCCTGTATCCCTCTCTTTTTTTGTGAGTCTGTGTCTTTTTGAGAGTCAGGAACACTGAAGCAGGTAAATGTTTGGCAGGCATTAACCTGGAGAGGCCCTCAGAGGAGTCCCAGCACAGCCAGAGCCGAGCACAGGAGAGGTCTCCAAACACCTGGATGTCTCTGATGCTCTCTGGAAGAAATTATAGTCTTTTTTAGCAACATGCAAAAAGCTGATGCAGTTGTGGTACTGGTGGAGAAGTCTGCTGTGTAAAAGTAAAGGAAGTAGACTTGAGAAAAATGTGGCGCTAATTTCCTATTAATGATCACTATACGGCCCAAACATAACTTTTGGATTGCGTAAGTGAATCGCTTGCCGGGGCGGCGGGAGTTGCGATCAGTACGGTGGTTCCACAGTGTGTGTACAGACACAACAGTGTGCTGGCTGTCAAAACCACTTTCACAATGGCAGGATATCCTGCAGGTCACAGAGCCACGGTAACCTCCAAGGGAAGTTGTCACTTGTTGGTAGGAAGTGAGGATTCCAGCGTCTAGTGGGGGAGTTTCATAAGGAGACATGTGGTTTTAACTATACACTGTTCAGATATGGTTGGAAACAGCTGTGTGGTATATGCCATCAACTTCCTCTAAGTCAATTAGGTTTTGAAGGGATGAAAAATATTATTTAATGAAGGAATGTTCTTAATGATGCAATGAACTTAGCTGGACTTAATTGAACCACACCAAACTGATATGAATTTATTTTAATTGAATGCAACTCAAATAAACTCAAATGAACTGAACTGAGTCAAGAAGAGCCACAACTTGCTTGAGTGAGATCAAATACAAGGCTTTTCCTCTTTGTTTTATTCAAGGGTTTTTGTATAAAATTCATCGCTTTGACATTGGATATATTTATTGATACAGCTATCTTACAACAAATATGTCATTAACAAACGTACAATGTCCCTTTACTGCAAGTCGTAAAATACCATAGTTACCAAAGGTACCAATAGAGGCTACTATTAAGTCCTGCTGAAAAAAGCAGAATAACGAGCAACGCACTTTCCTCTGAAAACTGCTGGTGTCATTATGATATTAACACTGTGTGTGTGTATGTGTGTGTGTGTGTGTGTGTGTGTGCGCGTGTGTGTGCGTGCGTGTGTGTATGTGTGCGAACCTCTGCCTGTATGCGTGTATGTGATATGCGGCAATGAAGGGATTTTGTCTGTGTACCTTACTAAACTACAACTGCATTACAGTTAAAAGAGAAAAAAAACACTGAAAGAGACATTCATATCAAAAGGTCTGCATGGGTCATCTCATGATTTCATTCAACCCATAGTTTGTACACTTTAAGAAACACACTGCATGTCTTGTACCTCCACAGCAATTTCAAATAGTTAGAGCCACTTGTTCCAGGCAGAGAAATAGTTTACCTGTCTTTTGCTGTATTCGGTGTAAATTTTTATCACCACCTTAAAGTGTTAAAATAATTAAAATGGTACCACATTTGATGTACTAGGTTCAGTTGCTTGTTTTACATTTCCGACACTTTCTCTCATTTATCCCCATTTCCTGTCTCCTAAAAGACTGTTTTGCTATTAAACCCATTGACAAACACACTACGGTACATCTTCAACCACATGACTTGAACTAGAGTCACTGTTATTACATTGTGCCGTGGAAATATAATGCTATTTACAACATATGCAACTGCATGGATAGTCCGGTCCATTCGGTTACGGCCTGCAACCGAGGCAAACTCACTTTTGTGTCATTGCTCTAACACATTAAATTTGTTGGGTGTGAATCTGGGCTTATTCAGTTACACTTTAGATCCATTTATTTGCAGCAATCTGTAAGCATGTTGGCTCTATTCTACCCGCATCAAAATGTAATCGATATCACATTACACATCAAAAGTCTTTGTTTGGTTTTGTTTTGTTTGCTCATTCTTTCTTTCTTTGTGTGTGTGTGTGTGTGTGTGTGTTTTTGTTTTTTAGATAATCCAGTATTTGGACTTTCAAAACATAGAAAGTCATAAGCCACAGTCCAGTTAAATACATAAGACATGCAGAATTTACAAGTCTTTAGTTGGATCTAATTCAATCACAATCGAACCAAGATATTGATCAGTGCTACCTCAGGTTTACTGTGCTAATGGTCCATTTTGGACGCCTCGCTCGATTCTCCTTCCTACACTGACAACTCAAAGCTAACAGGTCCTGAGCATATCCATGTCTTTTTTAGATTCTCTCATTGTTGTCTTTCAGTCTCAGGTGTTGTGTCCATGGTGTGTTGGCATCAGCATCATCGGCGGCTGGAGCCATCCAACGGGCGTCCATTGCGCCTCAGATCCCTGGCAGCTAGATGCAGCGCAGTCCCACGAGAAGCTGTTAGAGTCCTTGGAGCTGGAGGTGAGTCCTGGTCCTCCATAAAGCTTTCAGGGCTGCCCTCGGCATCGCCGTCAGGCAGGCTCCCACAGCTGGAGCCTGGCGACATTGTGCCCAGGAGGTCGTCCCTGGCCAGGCCCACCACTGTGTCCTGATGTGGGCCACCCTGAGGACCCCCTTCATGGGCCCCAACCAGCAGCCCTGTTTCCCCATCAGTTGTGCTGCCAACGTTCCTCCCTCCGTCCTGGTCCTCGAGGAGGTTGGAGAGGAAGCTGATATACTTCATGGCAAGCCGAAGGATCTCGTTTTTGCTCAGCTTCTTGTCTGGAGGGTGAGTGGGGATGAGTTTGCGAAGCTCCGCAAATGCCCCGTTCACGTTCTGCTGCCGCCAACGTTCACGGCTGTTAGTAAAGATGCGGCGAACAATCTTTGGCTGGCCAGCTAGTGGAGGAAAAGAGACAGACATCAGGTAGTCGGTCAGGAAAAGAGGAATCAGTGAAAGACATGACACAAACAACATGAAAGGCTGGGCTGAAACCGATCATGCACTCGGTAGAAGAATGAAGCAATTTATAAACGATAAAAATAAAAAAGTAGGAATTAGCAGTGGGAGATGCACATATGTGTTGAGGAAAAA